CACACATACTTTGGTCTGTGATGAGACCATCCGATACGTACTTCAGGTAGAAGTCTTGTTTATTCACCCCAAATGCACAAGTCACACACATACCTTGGTCTGTGATGAGTCCATCTGATACGTACTTCAGGTAGAAGTCTCGCTTATTCACCCCAAATGCACAAGTCAGGAGCTGGTTGCAGGGATGGCCTCCGAGTGTATATGACTTGGACCCTTTCATCTTCGTCATATCCAACACCTTGGTGTATTACGGGAGGAGGGGAGTGCTAAGGTGAGTAGCGCCGAAGGACTACAACTGCCTGGTTGTCGATGAATAAGAGTTGTGTATAACTAATGGGTTTCAATAGACACAACAACCGCAGTGAACGGATAAAGCACGCAATCAAGTCGCCGGAAACATGCTGCACATCATGAAAACCAAAACGTTGGACTATATGGACAGATACTTTGCACCTTTGTGTAATTGTCATATCCAACACCCTGGCATATTGCAGGAGGAGCGGAGCATTGACGGGTATTTCGAACACTTGCACACTTCAGTGGAAGCTCAGTCCAGGTGATGAATTACCCCGGGTGCGCCGAATAACCAAATTTTCACCGCGACGACTATAGGAATGGCCCCCATAAGAAAACGGGAATTGTGCCAATACTTACTCAGTACGCGTTAAAGGAATCAGGCATTGCTATGACTTGCAATCTACCACATACACATTAATAATATATACCCGATTCAAGCCTTGTGCGTGCATACGAATACAACCCAGACGTTCTATCTATCAAATACACATTATTAGTATATAGTCAATTCCAGGCATTCTAAGTACGCGCATACGAACACAACCCAGATGTCCTCCGAGCACACACCTCTACGGCACGGTAGACACTGCGGCCATTGGCGGTCCCAATCGACGCCCGCACAAAACACCCGACTACCAGTTCAGGAAACTCAGGCAAGTTGTGCCATCTATGCAGTGCATGGGTGAGAGGTGTGGTCAATGTGTGTACACGTGTGCTTGCTTTGGCTGTGTCGCAGTGCAGGAGTGAGAGTTGTGGTTCATGTGCGTATAATTGTACTTATTATGGCTGTGTCACGGTGCATGGGTGGGAGTTCTGGTTCACGTGCGTATACGCACACTTATACTATGGACGTATCAAAGGGATGAGGGCACATCGACGCAGATATCAGACACACCCGGCTGAAGGAATAGACACAAGAGACAAACAGTGTCCACTACGGAAGACTCGAGAGCACGGTGTGCGTTCAGATTGATCACAGGTGCAATCTATCTTTATCTGCGCATGTGACACTGACGGATGCAGACATACATACTTGGTGACTTTGTGCCGAGAGAGTTTGATGCTGTTGAGGTGCTCTACGGTAACTTCGGGCTCGGGTGATGCGTCGCGCTTCCTTGCACTCCCTAAAAAGTATAGTACATATTGTATGATGTGTGAGTGATGTGTATATACACTTATTCAAGCCGCGCCTGAGGACGACACTCTACCGCTAGTAGGCAGTAGTGATGACTGGGGTATCGATAGATGTATAGGATTGTGCTGAGCTCGTCGATGTGAGTGAGCTAGGTATACTATATACTTGAATGTATGAGTGTATTGTATAAGCATCTGATTGTGTGCATCATGTGCAGAACATAAGTGCTACGACACAGTCGCAGGACTGCGCAGATATACACATTTACAAACATGTATGCGTACGCATGGTGTAATTCAACTACGTACATATGTATATGGCTATCTAGAGTAAAGAGAGTATATCTCCAAAGTGTAAATGTCTAAGAAAAAACATATTAACACATATACTTGTCTACACGACTCATTTCAGTGCCGATGCTTGTGCTATGCATGTACTAATGTATGATCAAACACCAATCCAAACGTGCACATATGTACAAGTTTATATACATCCTATGCATGTGTGTGTAGAAATACGTATACCTTGTACTGTGATGGCAGTGCATTCTGTAACAAAATACTGACCACATCTAACAAGACACAATACGCGTCTGTACACATACCACTACATTCCTCCGCCATAGTCACCCCCCCCACACAAACACATACACATCACTCAACCAGCATGACCTACCCTTATCCCCTCGGGATGAGCGTCTGTGGTCATCATCCGATCCAGAGTCCGACTCCTCTTCACTTGTCCATGCTTCTGGTTTGCTACTAACCCTCGGCTTAGGAGCTTGTTTACGTGCCGATTCAGGGGATCGACTCCTCTATAACACGGACATGAAAATTGATAGACATTGTATCAGACGGGGGAGACCTTGAGTTATTGCATATACGTTGCTTATAGTGCATAGTGGCATACGCACGTGCACATGTACATACCGTTTATAAGCTCTATCCATACCCTCGACACACGTCTGTACTATGCCCAGTTGACATACATAAACGGATGTGTGCCAAACATGCCTCAGCAACAGAAATAGCTTTGCATTCGACTACATATAGAGCACCCTGCAACTATTCACCAATAGGAAAGCAGGCGCAAACACAACCCTGGAGTAGTACTCAGCCAGAGCTTACCCTAGATGAACCACCCTCTCTCCACTATTTACCAATAGAAAAGAAGGCGCAAACACAACCCTAGAGTAGTACTCAGCCAGAACTTACCATAGATAAACCCCCCTCTCTCCACTATTCACCAATAGAAAAGCAGGCGCAAACACAACCCTAGAGCAGTACTCAGCCAGAGCTTACCCTAGATGAACCCCCATCTCTCCACTATTCACCAATAGAAAAGCAGGCGCAAACACAACCCTAGAGCAGTACTCAGCCAGAGCTTACCCTAGATGAACCCTCCTCTCTCCTCCGCTGCTCGCGGTCCTTCTGGCGCCGACTTTTGCGCATTTTGCGCTCGATTTTCTGGCGCGCCTTCTTCTTCTCGTTCTCATCTGTTCTCTCCACAATCCACACTTCTCGTTGCAGCTCAGTCATGGCATCCACCATTTGCCTGTATACAGAATAACAGTCAAGTGGAAACAACGACCCGTGAATATCTATATAGATATACGTGCAAAAGGATATATATATATATATATATATATATATATATATACATATATTTATATATATATATATATACATATATAAATATAAATATATATTTAT